TTGAGTTTGACCTTTTTTTTAAATTTATGTTCCACCCTTTTCCTACTGGGCACAAACCTCCGCATCATCTACATATGTACATACCTCATACAAACAGCGAGTTCATTGTTGCTTCAATATGTACCTGCTCGTGACAGTTCAACTTCATTCACAGCATGTGGCAGCCATATTTGTTTCCCTCCTACCACCCACGTACTCCATTTCCCTTTGAAGTCTGTTGCTGATACATGGCTGCGGCGAAAAAAGTTTAGCATCAATTGTTGCAAGCGGTGGGGTGTTTTAAAATGGGTGGAGCTTTGTGAGTGCATAACGAGAGCAAAAACAGAAGGAGAGAGTATTATTTCATATTTGTAGGCAACAATACAAAAATGTGGTAATGCAAAAGACAATGAAGCATATGAAGTAATATGAGATTAGCATGATGGTAATCGGATGGAAATCGAGAATAACTGCACCTGTTTAAAAATACGTTTTTGATTACAATCGTATATTTGTGTAAATTTTGTAAATGTGGATAATACATATATATGCAAAAGCGGCAAGTGTTTGGATGTAAATTAAAAATGCTGCTTAAGGTAATGGTAATGGTATTGGTAATGTCAATTGTAATTTTAATTACAATGGTAATAGTAGTATAATAATAATGGTAATGTAAATGTAATTGTAATGCTAATGGTAATTGTAATTGTAATCTTAATTAATATTACGAAGTTTTTGGTAATTGTAAAGGTAATGGTAATAGTAATTTCAATGGAAATGGTAATTGTAAATGCTATGGTAATGGTTATTGAAACGGTAATGCCAATAGTAACGGCATTATAATGGTGTTTGATGTATTTGGTTACAGGCATACATTTGTAAATATGGAGAATATGCAACAGCGGAAAGTATGCATCCGATTTCAAAGGGGCCGCTTTTTTGTGAAGAAAGCTGGTTAAGGTAATGGTAATGGTATTGGTAATGTCAATTGTAATGGAAATTGCAATGATAATAGTAGTTTAAATAATAATGCTAATGTAATGTTAATTGTAATGGTAATGGTAATTGTAATGATAATGGTAATGGTTTTTGTCATTGCATTGGCAAGGGCAACGGTGATAAATATTGCAAAAGTACTGGTAGTAGTAATTTAAATAGTAATGGTAATTGTAATTATAATGGTAATGTTAATGCCAATAGATAGTAACGGCATGGTAATGGAGCAAATGCGAAAATTTGGCGTCATAAATTTGGTCTTATTTGACCTCGCAAATCGAAAAGGTGCAGGCGAAAAAGAAATGACTTTTAGGATATAAAATTAAGTTAACAAACATATTTACAGTGATTTATAACAAGATTATACTAGAGATTGTGCTCAATACGTTGAGTGACGGCCGCCGCCACACCGAAGAGCCGATGATCGATCTTGTCCAACAGATGGAGTTTAAAATTTTTTGTTTTCCCCCTCTCTGCTTCCCTTGCAAGTTGCAACTATTATTTTGCTGGTGTTAACCGATGCGCGCATGCGTGCTACATACAAAGCTATGTATGTATGGGGCTCATCTCATTGAGCTGCAGCATCTCAGCGTTGCAACGCGTTGGCCGGCCAAGTCGGCGGTTTTTCTCGCCTGCGGCAATTGTTTGCAGCATTTAACCATGGGAACGTGTGTTCGGCGCGTGGCAACTTCGACAGCAATGATCGTCTTTAAATGAGCGTGCAACAAAAAAAAAAAAAAACAACAACAACGAAGGCGCACCAGCCTACCTCAAGCCGCCCTTTCCGCTACGCCACTCGCACCCTACACTTTTTTTGGTTTTTGTGTTGTTGCTGGTTGCTGATTGTTGGTGGCATGTGGCATGTGTATCGCCGCTGCTTATCTCATTCAAATCATTGACATGGCTAATTTCTGTTTTTAATTTATACAAATAATTCAATTGCAGCAATTGTCGCTGACAGCGAACGTATGCAAGTGAATTTAGCAAATCACACACCACTTCATAATGTTTGTTGTTGGAAGGAAAGGAAAATCGGGTTTTTGTACACATACACATAGCTTACATTTGTTCATATGTACATATATGTAGGTAGGTGCATGCATACTTACATACTGACACACCTCTTCAACCCTCTTCGATGGCCCAATAATTTGCCGCGCTGTTCGCCGCTCACTTAAACCACTTCACTTCCATTCTGCTTACAAATTTACCCCAAATATGTTGCTGTGGTTTCGAAACTTGCCACTTTCCGATTGTATCCCTGTTCCAGTTCACAGGTTAAATGAGCCATGAAATAGTTTTGTGCTGATAAAATTAGTTTCGGGTTAATTAATTAGCGTGCAACCGAAATGTCATTACAACGCAAATATTTTAATGCTCTCACGGCTAAGATTTCGGTGGGAAAATCACTCAAGAGCTCTGAACTGTGAGTTAATTCAACTGAAATCCATAATCGTAAAGCGAGAAAGCAAAAGCAAACGAAGTCAATAGATTCAGAAGTTCGAGAAGTTAACAAAGACATATGTTTAAAAAATCGTATCGATTTTTTTCTAATTAAAACAAAAACTATTCTTTAATAATATTATCATTTCCATTACCGCTATAAGTATCAACGCAATAGCAATACCAATATTAATGACAATACTAATACCATTAACAGTACCAATAAAAGGGCAATACCATCTTAGAATCTTAGTATCAATACAAATACCAAAACCAATGCGAACACCAATATCATTAACAATACCACATTTCCTCATTCTTAAAACCGATTACGAGCCCCTTGATTAACCTGAATCGTACGGGCCAAAAGCCTAACTTCCTTCCTAAAACTCTGGACATTTTTTTCGACCTACATACATACATATGTATTTATGTATGTATTAGGTACAAACTAAGTTTATGGATACATATAATATTATATATATGTAATATAATAATTAAAAATATATATATATGTATATGTTGAAAGAAAATCAAGGGATACTGCCCTTATTATCCGGAAGATTGCCTTTTGTGCCTTCTTCGTTGTCGAGGGGGATTTCGATAGTATCATCTGTGGGATGCCAGACGTCTTGGTTTTCCAGGATTTGTATTGGTCATAGACAAATTGTCCTGGTTTTTTAATGAAGGTCAGTGCAGGCAACCAGTTAATTTTTTCTATGAAAACAGGTTAAAGCTGTATCCAGAATTGCAGCGGACGGCGGTAAAACGGTCATCGGCTAAACATATTTAGTTTTATTAAAAATTTTAAATCAAAACGACAACTGACGGATTTTACTACGGCAACTATACAGCTGTTCACTTACCGCCGACCTCTTTGCCGGCGTCCGCTGTCATTGTGGGTAGAGCTTAAGCTTTCAGTTATTAGTAATCGAAACATTTTTAGCTTCTTTCATTTTAGTTTATTTGCTTAAAGTCGTACTTTTTATCTTCAGGCAAACGCCAAAAAAGTGCAATTTCCTGAACAGTTACAGGGCTCAGGGGTCATACATACTACCCAGTAGATAATTTCAGGAGCTTTCTGAAGTCATTTATTTATCCCTCCTTTTTTTGTGTGGAGGTGCACAAAGGCTTTTAAAGGTGATCTTTTAATTCATAGAAATTATACTTCTTTAAGGAATTTATTTAAGGTTCAAGTCTTAGGTGGATAACTTACCCAGAGGCTTATTTATGACAGCCCTAATCTACAGAGAATTGTGCCAAAGAGGCATATACCCTTATACTGTTAGTTGAATCGACGCTGTACTTCGAGAGTGTTAAGTCGTATTGTATTTGGGCAACATTTAACGTTGCGGATATAGCTCTTCGTTAAGTTTGAAACTAGTAAGGGCCTCAGTTTAAATCCGCAAAAAGCTTCTCTTATACCGTTTACAAAAAGGTATAAACTATGTCTTTGTTTTGGCCACTCTTTAAGGGACAGTGATTGAATACTCGGTTGGGGACAAATATCTAAGAACCTTTGCTAGATAAGAAGTTCCATTGGAGCTCCCATCTTGATGAAACTCCGGCAAAGACCAAAGGGGTCATGTGGGCCTGGGGGAGTCTTTTTGGTAGAGCATGAGGTCTGTACACAAGATTAATAGAGTGGTCTTATCGCGTCGATCGCGGTTTATGATCCGTGGCATAGCGTCAGAAAACTGCCGTAGCTTATTCTAGGTTAGACGGCCTAGGAGAAGGTTTTCCCAACAACGAAGTGGTCTCCCAGAAATATAGCTTTTTTCTCTGTAGTGCGGTGCAGTAGCCTATGAAGTGCTGGATGATCTCTGTCTCTATCTCATCCTCATCTCTACAGTTTTTACAATGTGGCACACCCTGTTACGCTTGAAGTATTGGTAATTTTCATCTGGGCCAAATTAAACCTAGCAAAAGGATTAGAGGAGGAATTTTTAGTTTTATTTTCAGATAGCCCAACGACCATTCAGGCTCTACGTAACGGTATGATAATCCAACATTTTTAAACCCTGGTTTGACACAGTTTAATTTTTGGAAGCCAACCCTATGAGGTCGAAAACAGCAAGGTCGCTGAGAGGTTGGCACTTAAAGATTTCTAAACTTTTTTTATTGGAACAGAATCCTTTTATGGTCTCATTTGGTCTTATTTGATAGCCATAGTTAGTTAGTGGATATGTGGTAGTAAGTATTGTAGAATAGTAGGAGGTCTTAGAGTGATTTGGCACTTCGGCATTATTTTTTATAGAAAGGAATTGGGATCACAGTGCCAGAATGTGGGATCCTTTGTTATCTTCCGTTATTTATTTTAAATCATCTATGGTCGAACCTGCATAACAAGGAATTCACCTACCCTTTTGCCATCCATTAGGGAAGTCGAGGGACATTGAGGGCTATGTAAGTAACTAACAATTTTTTTTGGAACCACTGATTGAAATTTGTTCTTCCTAATTAAATTATTAATATTTTTTCCACAGGGGCCCTCTGTGTCTAATACCTAAGTTTCATTGAGTGTTTCATATTTCATTACACACTATTTTGTTTCAAAAGAAATGTTAAACTGAAAACCTCTAAAAAGAAATTATTTAATAAATTTGTTTTTATGAAAATTAAAATAAAGAAATAAGTGAAACTCATGCAAAAAGAGACCAAAGACGGTAGAAATCTCATAAAACTCTCTCTCTCTCTTGTTTTCATATTCGTTTGCCTTTATTTCTTTCAGAAAAGCCGCAACGACCGGACCCCATCATCTCGATTTTAGGCGGCGATTTGGGACGCTGGCAATTATTTGTTTGCTTATGGATATTTTTGTCCAAACCGCCCACCGGTTGGGTGCAGATTTCTATGACATTTCTACAGGCCGATGTTAAAGTCACCTGTAAGAGCGGTGGCGATAGCAATGCCAGCGATATTTGTGAAGCCGGTTGCGATGGGTATGATTATGATCGTAGCATTTTCGAGCAAAATATTGTCATGGAATGGGATTTGGTATGCGATCGTCGGTGGTTAGCGCAATTGCAACAATCACTGGTCATGGTGGGCATTATGTTAGGCAATATGGTAATGGGCATGCTGGCCGATAAGTAAGTAATAGAGTGAGGTGGACGAGATGTACTGGTATAACTCTCCCCTTTTCTACACATAGATGGGGACGACGTCCTATGTTTGTGATCTCGTGTTTGATGCAACTCATTTGTGGTTGTCTAGTATCGGCATCACCATGGCTTTGGTTCTTCTTGTTGATGCGATTTTTGGATGGTTATGCCACTGGCGGCACTATGTCCACTGGGTAAGTACATACTCGTACCCAGGCATGCACATAACTGATTAAATTTCTTTGATCTATTAGCTTCACAATCATCATGGAAATTGTGGGTAAAAGTAAGCGCGAACTGATGGCCATACTCTATCAGATTCCATTCAATTTGGGTCATGCCACACTGCCACTATTCGCTTATTTTCTCCGCCACTGGCGTTGGTATCACCTGTCGTTTTCGTCCTTTTCAGTCTTTTATATAATTTTCTTTTGGACTGTACCAGGTATTGCCGAGCGCCACACATAGATTTTACATTTAAAATTTTTTTAAATATAATTTCGCCCTCTTTCCTAGAATCTCCACGTTGGCTTTTGACCACCGGCCGCTTGGACAAAGCCACGGAAGTGCTCGAAAAAGCAGCAAAGGTTAATAAGCAACCAACCGAGCGGGTGCGCCCTGATTTAGAGGAAGCGCATAAGGTGCTGTCATCTTCAACAACACAAAAGGGCACGCTTGTGGACCTATTTAAACATCCTTATCTGTGTCAAAAGACTCTAGCGATGGCTTTTAATTGGCTAGTTGTCTGCCTGGTATACTATGGCGTGTCACAGTTCTTAACCGCTTTGACCGGCAACATATTCCTCAATGTTTTTGTGGCGGCGATAATGGGCGTACCAGGCACCTGTATATGTGTACCGGCAACCAAATATATGGGACGCCGTCTTACTCTCTTTATATCCAATCTTGTAAGTGGCATCTCATTGACGCTCTTGGCATTTGGTCCACACTTTGGCGGCACAGTTCGGGTGCTTTTGGCGACAATTGGTCTCTTTGGCGCATCGGTCACATTTCCGAATGTCTATTTGTATGCCGGCGAGCTGTTTCCGACTGTTGTTCGTCCCACAGGTGTGGGTTTGTGTTCGTTTGTGGGACGTGTTGGTTCGATTGTAGCTCCATGGATAGAGGGGTTGAAGTTATATGATATTGGGCTGCCCCCTGCCGTTTTTGGAATATTCGCCCTCTTGGCTGCTGCTTCGGTTTGGCTTATGCCTGAAACGAAGGGTTACCCTTTGCCAGAGACTATTGAAGATGGTAATACGTTTGGCAAGAAACCGAATGAGTAGTGACTGAAAGCGGAGAAGTAATCTTAATATTTGGTGATATTATTCGTACATAATTTTATGTAATTTAAATTTCATTTGTATAATACGTTTTTAATAAAATCTACAAAAGTAGATCGAATAGGTTAATATATGGAAAGTGTCTAACGTAGCCTTGTTGAAGCATTTGATATGTTTACAAAATTTGGGCAGTTACCGATTAGATTAAGTATGGTTGAAGGATCCGAATTGTATAACAACGTGTGAGAGGGAGGGTACTATGAATAACTGGGAGCACAAAATTCATTTCGCAATGGACCACTGTAGCGCCTTTCAAGTCGAGTTGGCAGAGGAGTTCTTTTTTCACCTGGTATGGATGCCGGTTAACAGAAGTATATCAGGCAATTAGATGGCAGATAAGTATGCAAGGAAGTGCACTTCTTGAAAGAGGTTGGATATGCCGCTCGGTGCCTGCAAGCTAAATATGCAGGTATTTTTTTTACTCCGAAGAAAGCGAAAGATGGATTTATCTTTGGCTACGGGCCTGCTGACCGGTCACATCACTTTAGGTAGACACGTGTAGAGTCTCGGGATGCCATTTAACGACGACTGCGGGGGGTGCAGAGATGAGCATGAGCCTCAGTAAGAAGGAACATAATAAGTTATATAGCGGGAATAAAGATAAGGCGATTGCCAACTGCACATTCTGGTTTGTATAAGAGGGGGCGGGGAGGACGTTAATAAGATTCCTTGTGGTACCACAACTGACCCGATGGTGTGTCTACGGGCAGCCACTGCAGCCTACTCTATATAGTACCTCTGAAATGTGAAAGGGAGTTGTTTGAAACATTTTAAAAGTTCTCTCGATTGCAGGGGGCATGTTGATTTTCCAATGGATTTTGAAAAATGTGGTAAAATCTTCTATGGGAGAATACAAAAATAAGTATACATATCGATACACCGTTCATATAAACAAACAAATCTTTTAAAAATTATGTCTGGATGATATTCTTACATATTCGCATTTGGTATAGCAAGCCTCCGGATATGACAGCAACATTCATTACCACAGTTAACCATATCTGCAACTTATCGATTAACAGCACCTTATTTGTATCTACTTTTACCACCCTTTATTAAATCACAGATATGTAAGCGCATATCTTCGTATTTGTATGGGCGTTGAGCCACCACTTAATATTTAATCCTTAAGCGTGTTTTCTGCCCATGGACATGTCGCTTACATAATAGATTTATTTTCTTATTTTTAGAGATTTTGTGTACTACTTTTTTGCACACTTATTTAGATGCGGGAATGATTTGCGGTAGAGATGCACTTTGAAAACAAAAATAATGTCTTTTCAGTTGAAGTCAATACAAATAAGAATATATTGCATAAAGTAGTGGGAAAAGTAAATAAACCGAAAATTAGGACTTTACTGGTAAAAGTTATACATATGTATGTAGGTGATACATATTGAGTATGATTTTTATTTTAGTTGAGCGGTTGAGGAATAATTTCATTGATTGTAAATATTTGCGTAACATGCATCTATACATACTATGTATGTACATATGTATGTATATGATTACATATGTTCGTACCTTCGTACACGCTACCTTTCTCATATCAATACTAGTTCTATTTACTCTTTACTACACCAATTTTGACATCAAAACAAACAAATCAATTTGCCACGCTTACACTTTTCTCTCACGCAAAATCTCTACGAGTTAGCAAACATTTGAAAATAAATCCATTTTGCTTGTTTATGAACTTATGGCCACGCATACGTTCGGAGATTAAGTGTGAAGTGGTGGCCACTTTTATAAGTTGGGTAGCGCGGCGCTGAAGGGATGTTGGCGAATAAGCAGAGGATGTGCATACAGATTTGTGGTTTTTCAATGTCTTTGTGAATATCCTGGCTTTCGTTCCCCATCCAAAAGTGCCCACTGCAAGGAATTTTTCACCGCAGCATCGTCAAGCAAGCGAGATACAAAAGATTTTTCAGGTCGCGGTATCTCTTGTTCTGTTACACCCAAAAATTAACTAATTTATTAACTAACAATGGGGAATAAGAACGAATAGTCAATCTCTAAAAAATCGCGTTTATTTTAGAGATTTTTTTTTAATATACAAAATTTTCAGATTTTTTTTATAGCAAAAAAGTTCTCAAAAAGCAACGCGAATTTTTAGATATTTGAAATTTGCACATTATTAAACTAAAATTTAATGGGCTATATGTTTCTTCTTGATACACCCTACACCCCTCTCTCTTTCTTGGCAGAATTCGACCAAACAACGCGTTTTCTGAACCTACCTTTAGTTGAGCTTGACGGCAAAGATTGAAGTACTATACGATTTAGGCCGGGCTAAGAAAGCCGGTACAACAACAATAACAACCTCCAGTGTACTCCCGACGCCTACTACTAGATTTCTATCCCGGTTCTAACAGGCATCAGCCAAGACATTAAAAATAGGCAATGAGCCAATAAGCCGCCATTAATCCAACCTTGAAGATTTCTTGTATTCGGGTTTGATTATTTATAAAAAAAAAAAAACACAAAATGTATGCTAATTAAGAGATTGTTTCGAAAATCCATCCACTAACGCGATTGAGGTCAGCAATAAAAAATCCTCCTCCACATTCATTTCAAGGCGGATCAGATCGACTTTAATGCAAATGAATTACAATATTTTTATTTCCCACACACCAAACGCACAATTGAGCTAAGCCATAGGCATTAAAACATTGGAAGACAACAACAGCTAGTACAAGCAGTTTACAGTACAACCAGCAAAGCAAACAATCAAATCAAAGGTGACGACAGGCACCAAAACAACCACAAATATACAAACAAATTAATCCTGATTTTTGCTGAGAGTTTTCAAATACACACAAACACATACAAAAAAAAAAAAAGAAAAAAAAAAACACCCATACTCATGCACGCGAGTATATCTAGGAAGAGGAAATCGCCTCGGAAGCATACGTTTATTTGTGAAATGCGATAATTTAATTGTGGCCTTGCATTCATTGCACCCCTGGGAAGCATCGCAGAGGCTTGAAGCGCCTAAGCTTATCGCTACGTACATATATGTGCATATGTTATAGTGGTTGTTGTTGTTGTTGTTATTATTGTTGTTGCGGAAAGTTAAATTAACAATCGTGTTTACATTGCTTTGTAACAAGATTGCACTTAAGATTGTCAATTTGACAGTCGGCAGCGTTGTGGAGGATGACAGCGGCGCAAGCGCAACACCGCCACGCCCTTCGAACAACCCCTAACGCCTGCCACACATTCGCATCAGAAGCGTTTCATCTCAGCGCTCAGCTATGCAGTTCCTCTACGACAGTCAGCGGCAATAGAAATTACCGTTAATGAAAAGGTTTGCACTTCCGTAGTCTCCTTGCACCCTCAACACCACAATCGCTTTTACAGTGCCGGCCACTTGAATAGTGCCACCTTTTGATCTTCAGTTTTGACAGTTTTCGTTTTGTTTATTTAATATTCATTAATTTTTTATAAAAAATATAGTATATTCTATAACAAAAACTATGTAAATACGATTTTAAAACTTTATAACTATTCTAAAAATCTGCATCAAAATTTCAAATTAAAAAACGGCCTCAAGCTCAATCAAATTGTTGAATATGGTTTGTTAATAGGTCAATACTTAAAGAGCAAAAGTAATTTTTAGCAAAAAAAAAACCGACTTCAACTCTCATATAAAAAGAATATATGTATATATATCTCATGATTCACTGATCGGATCAAAAAGAATTATCCAAATCGGTTGACGTGGTCCAAAGTTATGCGGTAACATACATAAAAACAAAATAAATATAAAAAAATAAAAAAAAATAAAATAAAAAAAAATATTACGACGAACTGATAACCTCCTCCTTTTTTGGACGTCGGTTAAAAAATCTGCTTGGTTTTCATAAAGCCCTACAGATCCCTAACCGCCAAAATAACGTAAGCGACATTTTTTAATTTTTTTATGCAGAAATGCATTTAGATGCTCTAGGGAAAAAAAAAATTCGCTTACGTTATTTCGGGCGGTTAGAGCTCGGTATGTTCTCCTATTTTTTATATGGCAGAAAATGTGCAATATCTCGGCAATAAAAACCAAAACGGAAAAATTTCAGTACTGAGGATCGAATTGGGGCGCCATTTAAGTGACCGGCACTGTATATGCATACCTACATATGCAGGTGTGAATTTATGTGTGTTACATAGTTGGTATGGTTCATCCTTTTGATTCAGCGTGTCGGCGGCGACGGTGTTGGTTATATCAGCGGTTTTTCTCGCCTGAAGCAATTGTTTGTAGCGTTTAGCCATGGGAACGTGTGTCCGGCGCGTGTCAACTTCGACAGAAATGATCGTCTTTAAATGAGCGTGCAACATATAAAAAAAAAAAAAACAAAATAATTTAGGGGAACTCCCTCACCCTTTTTTTTTTTGTTGTGGCGATTGCTAGTTGTTTCGGCTGGTGCTTGATGCCTAAAACCGATGGTTATCTTGTTAAAATCATTGACATGGCTAATATATGTTTTTAAGCTATTCAAATTATAGATATGCAAAATTAAATTCGAGCCAATTTTCTCAGAGTACAAAAAAAAACACACACAGAAAGGACTCGACCTGGGAATGATTTTTTATTATAAAAGGAGAAATACTACTTACTTTCAATAGCAATGTTCCTTAGAAAAATACACTTTGAAACTATTCCTTAGGGTGTTCGATTATTCGCATTTTTTCCAAAATCGGTTTTCGAGTTATTCGAAAAATTGCAATTTCAAAAAAACCGGTTACCTATTTTTAAATTAAGAAAAAAACGGATAAAACGGTTTTATTTTACATAGCTTTCACGCAGCGAAAATGAAGTCATGACCAAAAATTACAATAAAACTGTTAACAATAAAGAAAGCTTATTTTTAGAAAAGAGTAAAGTAAAATAAGTTCAAAGTTTTTTCTAGATCAAAAGTAAACCAAATACAAATCAGTGAATAATTCAA